ATAATAAATGAAACAGAAATATAAATAAATACATAAATATATCTATACTTATATATATAATACACATACACACACTGGTGTCAGAAGCATTAAGCTTTAGTTAACAGTAAGTGACTCAACAGCACATAACAACAACATCAGCAAGTAATTTATCTCACAGTATCTGATGATGCAGTATAAAGGTATAAAGATAGCATTAATGTTAATTTCCTTAGAAATCTAATTAGTAACTTTATGTCATAATATGGTATTGCTATAGCCTCAGAATACTCTGTACAATGTCTCTACTTTCAGAAGCTGATAGTATTAGCTGATAGCTATTAAAAGACTCATACAACAAAGTCCACTTACGATCATAGGTAACTATTTCTTCTCCATCTTCCTCTTTGAAGGATTTATTTGTGATCATCATAAAATCCCGTTTATTGCACACTGCACAGCCAGTAAAGTTCAGCAAGAAAGAGCCATTCTCCAAACATGTATTACCCTAAAATAGTAGAAACAGAAATTTTATTTTTTAATATTACAAACACTAATCTGTAACTCTCCTTGGAAGCTAGGATTTTGAAGCTCCGTTTTACATACTTTAGGCATGTGGCCAGGAGAGACAGACCAATCCTTGGAAAAGGACATCATGCTTGGGAGGGTAGAGGAACAGTGCAGGAGAGGAAGACCTCCAATGACATGAGTTGACACAGTAACTAGGGCCATGGGCGTAGGTGTGTCAGAGTCAGTGAGACTGGCTCAGGACATGGCAGGCTTCAGAGCTGTTGTACACAGGGTTGCAGGCAACTTGACGGAACAGAACAACAACAACAACAACAACCTATAACTCAGATCTTTGATGAATTATCAAGAAACATAAATTTCTAAAAACAAAATTATGCCCAGTATTTATTTTTTTGAAGGCTATGCCAATTTTTCAAATTACTGACTTAAAAAAAACCTGAAATACAGTGTTAAGTCTTCCTTTCTCTGAGGACTACAACTGGGTTTGACAGAGAAGATTAAATGCAAATGGGTATTTATAAATAACTCAGTGAAATCCCAATGTGAAAACCAAAAACTAAAGAAACTTAAGAGTCAATAACAGTAAGTTTGGGGGTGGCATAGCGGTAAAGTGCTGAGCTGCGAACCAAAAGGTCAGCAACTTGAACTTCAGAAGAAAGATAAGCAGTATTCTCCAGCAAAAATTTGTTGTAGTTGAGTACCAACAACTCAGAGCCAACCCAGAGCAGACCCTATAGGTTTTCAGAGGCTGTTAATTATATAAGAGACTAGCTGTCCATCTCCTACGGAGCAGCTGGTGGATGTGAACTGCATGCCTTTGGGATTGCAGTGCAGATTTTTATCACTAGGCCACCAGAACCTTAGTAATCTCCTGGAATCACTGAATCAGTCTTGAGGTTGGGTTTCTGTGTTTTGTTTTTTTTTAATAACAAGACTTATAATTAAAATTCCTTTAAAATAGAAACATCAGACCACTGATCTGATAAAGAAGATCTCCTACACTGTGATGCCCAATTGTAGAAACCGTTTTCTCTCAACTCTTAATAACTCTCACTCTAAGGCCATCAGACCTCAAAGATGTGTGACTCGGGCAAAAAAGACAGGCCTGACACCAGAGTTATTCAAGAAATTATTTTATTTCATCTCCAAGAAACTGTCTCAAAGGAAATCTCTGCCAAAGGCTTACTAATAATTAAAAGTACATATTGAGAACCAGAAGTAATTTTATAAATAATCAAGTCTAACCACATTTCCTTAACAACAAACTTAAGCTTTTAAAACAGTTTGATTTGACCTAAAAACCATTCAAGCAAACATATAAAAAAAATCGCATAAACAAAACCCAAAAAACCATTTAAGTAAACATTTCTCCAATGCACCTATGTGCACAAAGAACAGCAAAGAATGTAAGGCTGAAATAAATATGTATCTTCAAGGTGCAGTATAAGAGAATTAGGACCCACCTCAAATGATGCCACAGTGAAACCTTCCTGGCTTCCCAGGCCCTCTTAATCTCCCTCTTTTGAGTGGATTCTTAGTGCTATGTATTAAAGAAGAGATTAAGGGACTCTGGTGGCCTAGTGGCAAGAAGCTGCACTGCAACCCCAGAGGCAGGTTGTTCAAATCCACCAGACACCATGCTGAGGTCAGATCAGATTTGATGGTACACACAAAAATCAGGATTTTATTATTTAAAAACAAAAAAAAAAACACCGAAGAGATTACGTCTGTGGGGTGAATGGTACAGGATTATTACTGTAAAGTTTGTGGAAATTTACCACAGGCATACTATTTAAAGAAAACATGCCTTGGTTCAAAGTATAAATTTCAAGCTATGAAAAGAAACTGCTTTCTTCTTCCACCCCTGCCCCCCACAACTTTACTGAGGGATCATTTACACGTAATAAAATTTGCAATTTTAAGTGTACAAGGCAATGACTTTTAACAGTCATTAACAATGACTTTTAACATCTTTGGAGCCACTACTCCAGTAGAGATACAGAAGACTTCTATCTCCTCAAAATTCTGTCATGTTCTGTCACCTATCTCCACCTCCTATCCTAGAGTAACCCACCACTGACCTGATTTCTCTCTGTGTAGATTAGGTTTGCCTATTCTAGATTTTCAGATAGAAAATATCATACACTATTCTCTTTTGTGCTTGGTTTCTTTGCCAACTATGCTAGTGTTTGCCAACCATGTGGTCATAAGTCTTAGTAGCTGTTTTTTATTGCCAAATAGTATTCCATACTGACTGACACTGAAAAATTTCAGGAAGTACCATACAAACAGAAACTAATCATAATGCAGGAGAAAGTTGATGCTATACTGAAGGCATCGGGAAGAAATAATGCCCCAGAAATCAATGGGATATCAACTGACTTGTTTCAATTAAAAGATGCATCTCCGGATGTGCTCATTAGTCTACGCCATGAAATTTAGAGAAGAGCTGTCTGGCCAATGGATTGGAAGAGGTCCGTATTTGTTCCCATTCCCAAGAAAGGCTTCTGTCTTTGGTACTTCACCTCACTTTCAGGAACTTCAGATTTCTAACCTATAAAAGGGCATCTCAACTTTATCATTTATTGTATGGCTCAAAGATTATTAATTGCTTTCTGAATGATTTGTTGCTGTTATGTGCTGTCGAGTCGTTTGTGACTCATAGTGACCCCTATGTACAACAGCCCTAAACCCTGCTCTATCTTGTGCCAATCACATTGCCTCTGATACACCCATCCCGATT